GAGGGAAGGGGCTGAGGAGGAGCTGAGGGAAAGGAGCTGCAGCCCCAGGGAGACTGGAGGGGCTGGTCCCTTGGGGGTGGTGGCTTCACAGTGTCCCCTTTATGTGACTCTGTCCCCCTAATGTGACTCTGTCCCCCTGATGTGGCTCTGTCTGATGTGACACTGGGGACAAGTGTCAACCTGTGGTGACAAGGTTGGAGGTGTCACTGTGTGGGTAGTGAGGGAAGGGGCTGAGGAGGAGCTGAGGGAAAGGAGCTGCAGCCCCAGGGAGACTGGAGGGGCTGGTCCCTTGGGGGGGGTGGCTTCACAGTGTCCCCCTTATGTGACTCTGTCCCCCTAATGTGACTCTGTCCCCCTGATGTGGCTCTGTCTGATGTGACACTGGGGACAAGTGTCAACCTGTGGTGACAAGGTTGGAGGTGTCACCGTGTGGGTAATGAGAGGAGTGACTGCAAAAAGAGCTGAGGGAAAGGAGCTGCAGCCCCATGGAAGATGGGGGGTGGGCTGGTCCCTTAGGGTTGGGGGCTTCATAGTGTCCCCCTGATGTGGCTCTGTGCCCCCCCCTGGGGGCTGGGGACAAGTGTCAACCTGTGGTGACAAGGTTGGAGGTGTCACCGTGTGGGTAACGAGAGGAGTGACTGCAAAAAGAGCTGAGGGAAAGGAGCTGCAGCCCCATGGAGGGTGGAGGGGCTGGTCCCTTGGGGGTGGGAGCTTCACAGTGTCCCCCTGGTGTGACTCCGTCCCCCTGATGTGTCCCTGTGTCCCCCCCCCCAGGTGATGAGGGACCCCAACACCAAACGCTCGCGGGGCTTTGGCTTCGTCACGTACTCCTCGGTGGAGGAGGTGGACGCTGCCATGAATGCACGGCCACACAAGGTGGATGGCAGAGTGGTGGAACCAAAGAGGGCCGTGTCCCGAGAGGTGAGGAGGGGGCTTGTCCCCCTGGGGAGGAGGCTCAGTCTCTGCTAGGTGGGGCTGGAGGACCCCCTGGGATGTTTAATTTTGGGGGAGTGACCCCATCTCAAAGCTACGTCGCTGGAGCTGGGTCTGTTACTGGAGAAGTGGGAGCAGCTTTGGGGTCTCCAACACAAGGAGCTGTTGGACAGAGGCCAGAGAAGGGCCATGGAGATGATCCAAGAGCTGGAGCAGCTCTGGAGCCAGGCTGGGAGAGATGGGGTGTCCAGCCTGGAGAGGAGAAGGCTCCAGGGAGAGCTGAGAGCAGCTTCCAGTGCCTGAAGGGGCTCCAGGAAAGCTGGGGAGGGACTTGGGCCAAGGGCAGGAGGGATGGGCTGAGGGGGAAGGGCTTGAAACTGGCAGTGGGGAGCTGGAGGTTGGAGCTGAGGAGGAACTTGTTGGCTGGGAGAGCCTGGGCCAGGGAAGCTGTGGCTGCCCCATCCCTGGGGGTGTTGAAGGGCAGGTTGTCTGGGGCTTGGAGCAGCCTGGGCTGGTGGGAGGTGTCCCTGCCCATGCAGGGGGTGGGATCTAGATGGTCTTTAGCTCCTGGGATGGTTTGGGTTGGAAGGGACCTTCAAGCCTACCCAGATGATCCTGAAGGTGGCTGCTTCATCCCTAGGGATGTTAAAGGGCAGGTTGGATGGGATTGGAAGGGACCTTCAAGCCCACCCAGATGCTCCCACTAGATGATCTTTAAGGTGCTGCCCCATCCCTAGAAGGGTTCAATGATCTAACATGGGTCTTGGAGCAGCCTGGGCTGGTAGGAGGTGTCCCTGCCCGTGCAGGGGGTGGATCTAGATGATCTTCAAAGTCCCTTTCAACCCAAACTCAATTCCATGACATCCCTCCAGGACTCCCAGCGCCCCGGTGCCCACCTGACAGTTAAGAAGATCTTCGTGGGGGGCATCAAGGAGGACACAGAGGAACATCACTTGAGAGACTATTTTGGCCAGTATGGCAAAATTGAGGTGATTGAGATCATGACGGACCGAGGCAGTGGCAAGAAAAGGGGCTTCGCCTTCGTCACCTTCGACGACCACGACTCAGTGGACAAGATTGTCAGTAAGTGCTCTGAAAATGGGGGATAGGTTTGGTTGGGGGGGGGCTGTGTGTTCCCCCCCCGAACCCTCATTCCATCCTGGAATGCCAGGATTGCAGGTTGGAGGGACCTTCAAGGATCGTCTGGTCCAACCTTTCTAGGTGGTTCAGGTGAGGTGGGTCCAGCAGCTTGAGTCTGGAATGGGTTGGGGGGTCCAGCAGGTGATGGGCTTTCCATGAGGATATGGAGGGATGGGATGAGGGGGGATGGTTTAAACTGGAAGTGGGGAGATGGAGGTTGGAGATGAGGAGGAACTTGTTGGCTGGGAGGGTGGGGAGAGCCTGGGCCAGGGAAGCTGTGGCTGCCCCATCCCTGGGGGTGTTGAAGGGCAGGTTGGATGGGGCTGGAGCAGCCTGGGCTGGTGGGAGGTGTCCCTGCCCATGCACGGGGTGGGATCTAGATGGTCTTTAGCTCATGGGATGGTTTGGGTTGGAAGGGACCTTCAAGCCCACCCAGATGATCCACTAGGGGATCTTTAAGGTGCTGCCCCATCCCTGGAAGTGTTCCAGGTATCTGCTATGGGGCTTGGAGCAGCCTGGGCTGGTGGGAGATGTTTCTGCCCATGCAGGGTGGGTGGATCTGGATGAGCTTTAAGGTCCCTCCTTCCCAAACCAGTCTGGGATTATTCCAGTGTCCAACTGCCCCAGTATCCAGTTGGGATCTCCCCAGGAGTAACTTGGCACCCATTCCTCCCCCTCTCTTTTCCATGGGTCTCCTTGTCAAAAGGGAATCTCCACCTTCTTGGAAGACACCCAAGTACTGGCCATGGCAATAAGGTCTCTCCTGAGCCTGCTCTTCTCCAGACTGAACAATCCCAGTTCTCAGCCTTTCCCCTCAAAGCCTTCCCCGGCCTTGGATCATCCTGGTGGCCTTTTCCTGGCTCATCTCCAGCCTGTCCACATCTGGTTTCTCCACCAGAGCTGAACATGATGTTCCCGGGGTGGCCTCACAAGTGAGATGATGTTTTCCTGATCTGCTGGTGGTGGAACCCAGTGTCCCCTTGGCTTTGCCACAGCAGCTCCTGTTCGCTCCTGGAGCTTGTCCCATTCACTGCATCCCAGACTGGTTTGGGTTGAAGGGACCTTGGAAGATCATCTAGATCCAACCCCCTGCATGGGCAGGGACACCTCCCACCAGCCCAGCTGGTCTCCAGTGTCTCATGGAGACACAGAGCTCCTCTCCAACCAGCTGGATCCCAGCCTGTGCTGCTCTCCTGGGTTTTGTTTTCCAAAGTCCCAAGACCTCACACTTGGCCCCATTGAACTTCTAAGGTTCTTGTTGACCCTTTTTTTCAACTTGGAGAGGAGAAGGTTCCAGGGAGAGCTCAGAGCAGCTTCCAGTGCCTGAAGGGGCTCCAGGAAAGCTGGGGAGGGACTTGGGCCAAGGGCAGGAGGGATGGGCTGAGGGGGAAGGGCTTGAAAGTGGCAGTGGGGAGCTGGAGGTTGGAGCTGAGGAGGAACTTGTTGGCTGGGAGGGTGGGGAGAGCCTGGGCCAGGGAAGCTGTGGCTGCCCCATCCCTGGGGGTGTTGAAGGGCAGGTTGGATGGGGCTGGAGCAGCCTGGGCTGGTGGGAGGTGTCCCTGCCCATGCAGGGGG